AGATAGATAGATAGATAGATAGATAGATAGATAGATAGATAGATAGAGTGTGTAAGGTAGTGTAAGGAACTTTTTTTTTAAGTAGTGTAAGGAACTTTTGCAGATCATCTGGCAGTACTGTAATAGTAAATTTAGAAATCTACAGCATAAAGTATAGACTAGAATAAGAAGTGAAGAAATTGCTGAAATCAGCAGTCGAATCCTCCTACGTTTCTGTTGAGAAAATTGCTTGGATGCGTCCACGAAGTCACTAAGCATCTAATTTAACTTTAGGATTTTAAGCCTATCTTTGTTAAACAAAGCATTTTTATACCATACTCAATTGTCTATATCAGGGGTGTCAAAGTCACGTTGTCATGGCAGTGTCATGTGATGTATCGGGATTTTTTTTCCCCTTTGCTAAACCGAACATTGGCATGGCCAGCACATGACACATGTGGCTCGTGGGCCAGGAGTTTGACAGCCCTGGTCTATATACATGTAGAATAGCTTACATCTCCATCCTTACAAATAACTATAAATTAATTCACATATTGCTCATGTTAACTTTTTTATAAGTAAATGCATGATTCTTATGATGCAATAAAATTTTCCCTTTCACACAGTTGACATAAAATGCGTATAGACAGAACATTACAGCATAAAGTATTACTAGGCACGAATTTCATGAATTCTCCTTTTTATTGCATAGGATCTCCAGATCTTCTTGGAGAGGGATAGAGCCCAAAGTGAAAAAAGGAAACCACTGCCCAATATTGGATAGAATGATGAATAGGAGTTTGAGGCTACTGTAGAACGCCAATTAAGTAACTAGTAGTGATACAAACAGAAGTAGCTATTTCAGCTGAAACATTTCGTTAATAAACTGCTTACAAAACTTTGTTTGGCTTCAGCATTTTTAAGGAGATGAAGAGCAATATTTTCAATCCAGAAAAGGCATGGTTCAAATCAATAACAGATATACAGTTCTCACAAAATTGATCATATGTGAATATATAGGCAAAGGTGAACTATTTAGGCTAGTTTTGAAACACATTCTGATCTCTCTGGGCCTTTTTAAGATTTTATCCAGTCTGTCATTTTTCCCCAGGCAGAGGTAACAGAATAGTTATTTAAAAGTTATTTAACTAATGGAGATACAACGAGCATCACTGCTGCCTATATCTACAGATGTGTTACTGAGGTCATTCACATGCATGTCATCTTTCTGTGAATGCTAAAAAGCATGTTTATTTAGGGGTATGAGGAAACTACAACATGTATTCTGGTATTGGGAGTACACTAAAATAAGTTTTGATTTCCTCTCAGTAACAAAATACCTAAGTTAATAATTTAATGGGCAGATTTCAGGTATTCTTAGTGTATTTTGCATAAGATACGACTTTCCATTCCCTGTGTCAGTCTTTGCAGAAAGTATTCTGGTATCATGACTGATGTTAAGCTAGATATTCCTTAAAAAGCAAAATACAGAAGATTAATCTTTAATCTTTTCTAATGTTAAAACAATGAGATAGAGGCAGTTACAGGAAAACATATGGCTAATTATCCCATAATGTGTATTATCACTGCTTGTCAGACTTCCTTTGTTGTAACCTAAGTTGATCTTCTCTCCTTCAGTTGACCTTTTACACACACACACACACACACACACACACAGAGAGAGAGAGAGAGAGAGAGAGAGAGAGAGAGAAAACAGAGAGAAAGTGTGTGTGTGTGTGGTTATCATTAATACTGAATCTATCCAAAAACCAAAATTGCTTTTTCAGACATAATCTCTCTCTCCCTCCCTCTCTCCTTCCCTCCGTCTCTTTCTCTCTTCCCCCTCCCTTTCTCCTTCTCTCATTTCTCTCTCCTCCCTCCTTCCCTCTCACCTTCCCTCAATCTCTCTCTCTCTCTCTCTGCCTCCCCCCCCCTCTCTCACACACACATAACACACACACCTATGTACATAATTCATGAGATGATTTAACTTGCAGGTTTTACATAGTCATTTTGTGGAATTTTGATTTATAACAGAAAATATATTTTGAATGTACGTTTTCTTCAGACAATGCTTCAGAATTCAACACATTATGTGTTGAAATCCCCTTTACCTCTTTACTAATGGTTATCTGTAATTCTTCAAGCTTTTTTCTTCAGCACAATTTGTAACTGTCTATAAAAATGTTCCCTTTTCTCCATTCTTTTCTGCCCTCTACTAATAACTAATGATTTCATGTCATCATCACCCATTCCTGTATACTTGGGGTAATCACGGTGAATCTTGTGGATATTATTTGTTATTATTTTTGCTGAATAGAACTAGGATCCTTCTATCTCATATAATAGGTCATACACTGTAATTTGATCAAATATATATTTCACCTTGAGTGATGGATTTACTTTTGAAAAATATATAGACAAACTTTTCAATCCTGCATATAAACACACACACACACACACACACACACACACACA